CTAAATTTCTCTGTTATATTTTTCGATTAAAATATAGACGCGATTCTGAATTTTTAATTATAACTAAAATACGTATTATGAATATAAAAAGCGTAGATATTCACGCATTTTTTACTCATAATAAAAAATATTAATATTTAATTAGATATTTTTAACTTGCACGCAACAAAAGATAAATCACGATTTATGAATAGCAGCAAGATTCTTTATTTTGTGAATATATTATATAAATTCGCATATGAATATTCCAATTTTCCATACGCCGCAGAATTACGTTTTCAATAACTACTGCACGGCCAAACGTTTATTAAACGTTACATGAATATGTGCACATAATTTCCACGACATATTTTTGAGCATTTAATCATTTTCATAAAAATGCTTGTCGAACGAAAAACGAGTATTTTTAATATTATCTCAGTACTCTCGCGATATACTTACTTATTACTTTAATATATATAAATATATATATATATATACATATATATATCTGCAAAAAGATTATTAACAAAACGTGAAATTCTTTCTTTCCATTCATTCGAAAACACAGAGGATTATAGTTGTGTACTTTTTATACATATATCCTTCTCGCAACTCTCACGCTTCCGCTGTTTCTTTGTACTTTTTCTCGCAAAATCTTTCCCTCCAGGAAAAAAGGTCCAAAGAAGGGAAGAGCATCGCGATTAAAAAGTATCGCGTACGGAAGCGCCTCGTCGCAAGATCTCTGATGTCCGTGGTTACCTTTGAGTTGTAACGATGTAATTTCTATTCATGATCCGTCTAATGAAAATATAATCGCGTCGGCTATATATTTGCATCAACGCGAGTGCCGCTTTATACCGGATCCGCTGCTTCCCCTATTTCGCTACTACACGGAAAAGTATATATACGGGTTAAGCGGTAGATAGTACTTGACGTTATGAACTACGCTTGCTTTATGTGCTGAGAATATATGTAGTGCGAGAAATGCGACGAGGTATGTCGCGACTTATTAATGGATCAATGGCTCATACTTTTTCCCACGATAAATAAACTCAAAGACGGCATGTGGTATTTTTGCGATCGTGTTATGCATTCGGAAGCTTACTAGCAATAAAAATGTATAGTATATCTATACAATTTATTTAGTTTATTCTCTCACATTCTCTTTAAACCTCACATTAACGAATTCTCTCATTAGCAAATGTAATATTTTATTATGGCAGAGCTATTTTAAAATAAAAAATTAACGATTGTTTATTTAGATAAAATAATAAGATGTTTTTTTGTTTAAACAAAACAATTACATAAAGCTTAATAATTGAAACTAACTTGATTATTAATATCTTTATCATTGAATTTACTTTACTATAAAAATAAAAAAAAATTAGATATATCTCTCCTCTTATAATCGCTGAAGCCGTGGATATAATCTTTATATTTGCTTTTCATATTACCGTTAGAACTGTGCTATTGAATTGTCCCTGATAAGGGTGAATGCAATTCTTTTCAGTCATATCCACATGAATATCGCTAGAATATAGAAAAATAATTGAATTTTGATGATGAAAAGGTATAGCGTTGTTGCGGACTGAATAGATTAACTGACAGAGTAACGAGTTTTAAATTGCAATAGTCCCATGTTTAGATAGCGATCACGCTTCGCAGACACTTTGTCATAGATTTGTCCATTGCATGGGGATTGACGAAACGTGAAATTGTTGTTCAATAACACTTACCCCGGCTATTCGAGGAGCGTCAACAACGAGATAGAAAGAAAAACGTAGGGGAAAAAAGTGGGTCGTGCGTATAATCGCGATTTGCGGCGGTTATAGTACAGCAAACGGGTATACTTCGTCGATGCGGAAAACCAGATGGAATTGGTAAAACAGCGTGTTCGATTTCTCACGGGCGTGATGACGATTCAGGGCATCGCGCAGGCTTTCGCGAAGCCACTTTGTCAATCCGTTATTGCGCGAATCGAATCCGTGATAATGGAGCATCGACATAAACGGATCAAATAAAGGTAATCCGGGATCGACCGGTCGCTTGTGGAACCGCTCGACTTAAATTCGAGGCTTTCTCTCGTCGTTTCGCTGAACGAAACTTTTGCATTTCGTTCTCTCTATCAACATGATTTCGTCGAGGACTCTCCGGCGAGGAGAGAGAGAGAGAGAGAGAGAGAGAGAGAGAGAGAGAGAGAGAGAGAGAGAGAGAGAGTTTGACGTCGTTCTTGGAAGTACGAACGCAAGATCGCACTTAATCTTTTAAGACCAGCCGCACGAACGATCTGAACGCGTTCACGATTCCGTCGGTGCGGAACAAAGCGGCCGCGATAATGGAGCATCCGTGTAAACCGATCGGCTTTCGATATAATCGAGCTTGCGTTACGAAGCATCCGGCTTCGAATATTCGCCGTCTCTGGGCCGCGCCGGAGACGTACGACGTAAATAGAAACTTTTTTTGCGGCAGCATCTCGTTTGATCATCTTGTAATTACGCGTGCAAATTACAAGAGACTATGTAGTGAGAGCGTGTTTAAAGTTGCCCGAGGCAGATATTATTTTCGCCAGTAAATAGAAAAGAGCTATATAACAGCGGCGTTTGCCGTCGTTTTATGGTGTGCATCCGAATATAAATACTAAATCGCGCGATAAACCAATTTTAAAATTTGCGAGATCACAGTTGACAGTTACGCTACTGTAAATAGTTGTTTTATTTTCGAAGTTAAAAAAAAAACTGCTCGTCACACTGTTCAAACCTATGTACTTTTAGAACCGCATAATTTTTGCCGGCTGAATATTATCGTAGGAATAGTCCGATTGTCACAACGTTGACACATTGTCGCAAGAAAAGCAACGGAAAAATTCCAAGCAGCATATTATGATTCTATTATTATTTTATACAGAGCTTTAAAATGTGCTTCTATTTGACAAAAAAATCACCAACATCCGTCCTCTTTTACAAAGTCTTTTACAAAGTCTCTTTATTATTTCAAACTTCAGCTCTAGTTAGATTTATTACAGCAATTCCAAAAATAATTACATATTTAACAAAATATTCGAATAAATGTTTGTATAAATATTTGAATTTTTTTAAATATTTCCCATACGCGACTATCCAGGAAACACTATCCAGGGAAATGATTTTCCGCGTTTTTGCCACATATGCATATATGTATATGCGATATGTCGATTGTCCGACATTCTCGAACGCTCGCGTTAATCCAGCGGGCGATAATGGAGCACCAATGTAAACGGATCAGCCGGCGATAATCCGCGGCCGATCCGATTTCGTACACAGAAGAACTTCGACTAGTATGATCGTCGGAATGTGGGCCAGCTTCGCCATGAAACACAGTTCGATAACGGCGCGCGCCGTGATCTACGCCAGGTCTGGTGCTATCGCAGCGAGACAACTCGTTTATCATAGCTTTCTCTCCGTACAACTACAGCCCCCCTACCCCTCCCCCTCCCCAGTTAGTGAACGGAAAATATAAAGGAATTGCGCAGTCCCTTCTATCTTCCTAGCTATCATTCCACTGAGCGGAATTCCAAGCTAGCTTATTCTCATTGATGAAACATATACCGTTACGTTACGCAATTGTGCATAATGACAAAGGATATTCGTTACTTTGTTACAATAATTATTTATTTTTCAAGTTAGTCAAATGGAAAATAGTGATAAATGATAAACGAAAAATAATAAATATTTTAATTTGCTAATTTGTAATCTGAATTTCGGAGGGAGACTCTGGGCCCCGTTTATGTGAGAATTAATATAATTAAAATGAAGATTAACATATTTCGGGAATTTCAATATTAATCTTTCTCCAATTATACGGTAACTTTTCAGTATCGTAAATCATACGGCATATTGTCTATGTAAATTCTTGGGGAATTAACATAACAATGCAAGAGTATATGCGATGTGGTGTAGGTGAATTATTTCGTGAATTAATTCATTTTACATGCTCTTTTACAGAGGGGAAACTCTACTGATTTCATCTAAAATAATGCAAATGCAAAATTAATTCGACGACCGCAAATCTAGCACATCAATTTTGCAACTTACTACATACATGTTTGATTTTCATTAAAGCTTCTAGCGAGAATCTTTACTAAAAGGTGATAACAGAAGCATAGTCAGAATCATCACAAAGGGCAATCCGATAACGTATGGCGCGATTGAGAATAGTTCTGTTCAAAGTGGTCTGACCATTGTTATCGCGACGAAACATCCCGTTTTCCCTAAGGGATTCACCCCCTCCTCTCCCCCCCTTTGATGGCCACTGGGTTTGCAAAGCGGAAGCAATAAGAACTTCTATTCTCTTCCTATCGCCACTCCCATTCATTTTCTTCATCCCTTACAAAAGCCATGCACAGTTAGGGAAACTTTTTTGCTTGGAATACAAATTACTGGCCGCTACTTTATAACGAGAGACAATAATAAACACCCTTAAAAAGCATAAATGCAGAATCAATTTACGCCGTATAATATTTATGTGAACATTCATAATCGGAAATTTATTTCTTTATACAGGCATATGTAATAATAGCGTTACGTGCAAAATATATTTTCTGTTAAATTTTGTAATATTAGAGCATTAAATGTATAATTAATTATTCATAATTGTCACACAAAGCAAACAAAAGCGAACTAAATAAAATCATTTAATAACAATGAATTTAAATTAATGCACTTATATAACAAAGTAAAAGGTTTATTTCAAATTTACATTTTGAAATAACCTACATATTAT